AGAAGGGACGATACACAAGTTGAAGGAACAAACCAATGACCGTAAATATCAACTGCCTAAGACTGAAGTCCAAATTACTGAACTACGTAACAAGCTCCAGGTGACTGACGAAAAAACGACAGATACCGATAAAGGAGTTGCAGTCGAGAGTCCCATTGACAGTGATAAATATGGCAGGAATAAAGGTGGACATGACATTGGACAATTACAGAAAGAGAGAAAAATGGTAATACCATTATAATTATGTAAATGTTATTTCTACACTAGAGCGCCAATCAGTACTATTTGGAATCATGCTTATTGATTGTTTACATAAAATAGAGGCACTCTAGGATTATCAAAGTTGCATTTTGAAATGGTATAGCTAGACATATAGTTAGAGCCATGCATATTAAAGAACGAATTTGCATATTTTTTATACTTAGAATTTAAATTAAGCTTGGTGCATAGAACACAGCTGCAAACCACAATTATACAATCATATTTAATTTTTAAAATTGTTAGTCTCCATTAGATTACTCCAAATCGTAGGCATGTCATTAGTTTTTTTATTTAATTGAATTTTGAGTGATTTCATTTAACTTTGTTATATTTATAGCCCTTAACAGATGAGTCCAATGGATTAAATGTATCAGGACCACTACAAGAACTTATGACAGGGAATGATAGAGGTAGTAAAATCATAGCAGGAGTACTAGCGGGTGATACGGCTGCGGCAGGACAAGATAAACCTTAGAAGTAGAAGAGAGAGATGACACAAATGTGACAGGGCAAGAGAGAGATGGAAAAATTGTTGCAGGAGTACTTCAGAGAGATAGTACCACTGTAGTTGGACAAGAGGGAAGTGGAACAACAGAACAAGGGGGAAATGGTGAAACTGCAACAGGAGTACTAGAGGTAGATGATGTAGTAGAACAAGAGGTGGGTGATACAACTGCAGCAGGACAAGATAGAAATGGCACGCATATTGCAGGACAAGAGAGAGATGTAAGAACTGTAGCAGAAATACTAGAGGGAGATCGTACAAATGTGGCAGTGGTACTACAGAGAGATGATACTAATATGGCTGGGAATAAAGGAGTACAAGAGGGAGATGGAAAATGTAGTAGACGTTCTTGTTGGAGGTGGTACAACTACAACAGGGTGAGTGGGCAATACAGGGATGGTTCAACTGAGTTGGGAGTACACATTAACACAATGCATGTTTCTAAACAAGATGGATATGGTACATTTGCTAGTATCAGTGAAGCAGAACAAGGGAGGCAGTATAAACATGTAGCAGAACAACAACATGAATTAGCAGAACAGCAAACGGAATATAATGGGCATGTAGCACGATACAATAATCTAACTGCTCCCAAAAATGAGGATTACACTGTTGTAAAAGAACGAGATGATAACAACATAACTGAGAAGACGACACAATATTTAGTTTTACTTGATGTATATTCCAAAAGGTGTGGGAACTCTGTGAAAATACGGCTACGGGCTACATTACAGAATATGGTTTTGGTGAGTAAAAGAACTTTTGAGAACAAAACACTCTTTAGACATCTTCTTTCAGTTCACGAATTTGGCAGGGAAACAATGCTATTTTACATGTTCACGTGGATTTAATTTGGAAAATTTTACTAATCATCGAAAAAAGTGAAATTAAACTACTGAATAATCAATGCATTTACAGTAATTCATAACTATATATGAAAATGACCCAACATACGCAACTCCCTCTTGCCCTACTGACTATCGACATACTAAAATACCGATATACATGTAGATCTACTGCAATGATTACTAGCTGGTTATATATCTTCTTTCCAGTCAAAGGTGCATTCTGGATGGGAAAAAGCTGATGAACCCCGAATTCTGCCAATAAGATGTCTTCCCCCAAATGGAACTATTAAAGCCAGGATTGAAGTATGTGAAGAATGGTCACTTTTTCCGAATAACACTAATAGTAGCGTAAGTAAGAACTGAATAATAATATAATAATAAGTTAGGCTACATTTTACATGTATGCGAAATGTCACATAATTATGCAGTGACGTCATCGAATACTGAGCACTTCTTAGCATACTAGTAAACAAATCAACAGATTCTATTTCATATACCAGGGGGCTGATTGACCGCAACAGCAGTGTTTCATTGCCTCTATTATGTTTTTATGTTTGTATCCTCGATAATTCCAGTGGGCACCTCATCTTACCATAACCGATCAACACAAACAGCATTGTATTTTTACAAAGGTGGCGTCATTTTGTTAATTTTACTTATTTCAACATACGTATTTAGCACTGTCATTATCTACTGATATTTTCATGCTAAATCAAAAATGGTGGATATTATGCACAATAAACTGCGCTATCTATTTACGTTAAAGCGTAGCTGGACGATTTATCGTCATGAACGTCAAAATGAACACGGATTCTGCACCTTAACTTAACGTATAGCCGAATCTTTCTGTTAAATTTGTCAAAACGTTTGCACATATAACAGCATAAATTAAAATAATGATGAATTATATAATTATAGGAACAGACACTGTATATTGATGCAATAGAAAATGATCACGATTCTGTTACGTTTATGAGTAATTACAAGTACGGGAATGCACCTGCCTTCTGCAGTCATATTGAAGTGGAGAATGAAACAGAGAATAAAAAGAGAGAATTTTTTATTTGCATGCCTTTTAATCAGGTGAGTTCATTACGACCATTGTGAGAACATAGGAACAATCATAAGAACATACCACTAAGTCAATTAAAAGTGATCACACATTGAAGTACAAACAGTCGAAAGCTGTTGGATTTAGAGGCAGAACTAATATTCATCAACAAAACTTTTTTATAGTTCATATTTATTGTAATGATTCACAATAAACGTGAGTTTATACTGCATAGAATTTGTGTATGTTTATGGTGATCGCTGGGGTATTAATTCTCATTTGAGTAAGTATTATGACAGTCCCTAGACCCACAGTCCCTCAACAACTGGTTGCGAAACGCGTTTGTTCTAAGGTGTTAACCCCCCCTTCCCCTGAACGCTGGCGACTGTGCGTGTCATGCTTGTGGAGTGAAATCGATGACGTCATAACATCTTGGGGTCTTCCTAGATTGTCTTCAGCTCTGTGCCTGTTAATTATTCTCTGATTTGTTTGTGTATTTGTGTTCCCAAAGGCTTTCTGATAGGGCACGTGTAATTTAAAAGATTTATTCATTGAATTGACATAAAAAAAAAATCGAGATTTCAATTTCAGACCGTCACAGGCAGAACTGTTCATTGCAGTGTTACGCGTTATGGTGGCGTTGTGCAAAACGTTTCACCCTGTGAAAAGGAGAATCTATATTTAAATTCTTCTCCAATATGTTTTGTGTCGGGAATGCAAGCGATAGCGCGCCACCAACGGTGCTTATGTGTGAAGGGTGATGTCACTCCTCGTTGCGCGAGGTGTTACGTCACTCCTCTTCAAGGCAGACACCACAAAAATGTTAAGTGGATTTTCTTAGTGTAGTAAATTGTTGAAATAATACTCATTTTCCCTCCCTCCCACCCATGATTTGGCCCCACACTCAGTGACGTTAACTTTGCCATTTTTCAACAAACTTGATTTGCTACTTTTAGTCAAGGAAAACTTTATTGTTTATTCAAGCAAGTTGTTCATTTTACCCAAATAGTTCATTTCAGTCGATTATTTACAGTTAGTTTTGCCCGCAGATACTTGCATTCACCCACGAAGCAACTTATGGTCGTCGAGTATCACGCAATGAAAACTATTTTTTTTCTGATATTGATGACTAACATTTTTAAGAAACGTTTATTTATATTATATTTATATTTTAGAAATAACTAAATCATTTTCGTTACGTCGAATACCGATATTCTAGTCCGAAAATCTCTGAATTTAGATCATACACAATTTGTTCATGTTAGATCAAGATGGCGATTAGGTTGTTACCTTAGTTGTTGTTATAGTGAGTGTATATAGCTTAAAAAACCTCCCAACCACACTTCAAAAAAGTGCCCATATTGTTTTTATGGCTGTTCTGTTAATTTTTGCTTTTTTTTCGAAACTACGTTCAATAGGTTTCTTGTGGCCCAGACAGAATGGATGGTTGTCAAGCATTAGGCAGAAATAGTCAAGGTCAGTATTGCCCGAAAATAGTTTGTATGTGTTAGGGAAGCATTTTTTGTGTTTTATCCAATTGTTTTCATTAATGATTTTTTGAAAGAAAATGTTTATTAACAGATTGTTATATTTCATGTAATTCTACATGATTATTTATTATTATTATTATTATCTTTTATTTCAGGACAAGCCCATATAATAAGTAAGTAAGATCCCCCCTGCCAAATGCTAAGGAAAACTGAAACGTATATATACATATTTACATAAAATATTGTCCACCTATGCGGGTCTGTTGGTGCAAGGTTTTTATGACCGTATGCCCTTACTGACGTCAACCAAACTTATTATGTGGGAAGTTGGCACCCAAGGCTGACAGGTGCTACACCTTGCCCAAGGGTGACCTGGAGGTAGTTGTGGTAAAGGGTAACCTCATTCTCCCGAGTCCATAGACTCCACAACCGGATGTAGTTTAAAATCATACCAAGGATAAATATATACATATTTGAATAACTGTAAACATTGCCTTTAATAGGTAATACCCCACACGTGAGGCTTAGTTGGTGCCAGGCTTTTACGATCGTATGCCCTTACTGACGTCAACCAAACTTATTATGTGGGAAGTTGGCACCCAAGGCTGACAGGTGCTACACCTTGCCCAAGGGTGACCTGGAGGTAGTTGTAGCAAAGGGTAACCTCATTCTCCCAAGTACAAAAACTCCACAACCCGATGCAGTTTTAACGTCATGCCCTAGACTTTGACAAGTTGACAAACAGAAGTGTGAAAACGACTTCTGAACCATAACAGTTTTCACAATTGGATTTGTAATTTTGCATTTTCTAAGAAACAAAGTGCGTCATTTGTAGTCCAAATGTATTCGAACCTGTCCTCCTGTTTCACAAGTTTGAAGTACTGGTACTCAGATTTAATTCTGCTGGTGATGCGAGTTTTGAAAATTTCCAACGGATCCACAAAAGCACTTCCCTCCCGTTTATTCCGCCGGGAGATATGGATAGCTACTTTTGCAGTGATAAGGATAAAAAGAAAAATACTCTCACACCAAGGAGAAACCGTCAAACCAGGTTGTACAAATTCAGTAGAAATGCGCGAAATGAAGCGACAGAGGTCGCCAATCACCGGACATTCAATGAAAATGTGAATGAGCGAATCCAGATCATCATAAAGTGGACAGTTTTCAGAATCGACAAAATTTGACCCAGCAAGAAAACCAGCAGTAGTATATGCACCATGCATTACACGTCATTGCAAATCCCCCTCCCGTTTTGTGATGGGGGCAGTATAACACCCTTTGAAATTGGGTTTGATATCTGAAGGCAAGGCAAGAAGGTTACGCCACACAGTGTCAAGTTTGTCCGGGTGACGAATTTGTTCATAACCGCTATGTGGTATTTGTATGTAACGCGTTTTTCAAGTTTGTATAGTGGAACATTTTGTTCATCTGAGAAATGTAGCTGGAAACTGAGGTGGCTAGATACAGGTTGATCAAGTATTAAATTGTCTTTCAATTTTGTATTTATGGTTGCTTTCCATTTACCAGGAATAGCATCATGTACAACATTCAAACTTAGCTCAAGTATATGTCTGGAGTGTA